GCAAGGGGAAATTTTGAGTCAACTAACTTATTTTCCTCCTTTTTTATTTACAAACTCCGTCTACTTACGATATATATGAACAAGGTCTTATTTTATTATCACACTTTGTTCCATTTTTTAAAATTCGAATCATATTTATTTATATATATTACCACTGATTACTTTGTATTTAGATTGATTTTCAACGTGTCTCCAATGAATCTGACTCCTCTCCCTATGTTAGACGGATCCTTTTTCCACAAGGAAATCCTTACCCACAGAAGCGCGCAATTACCTTCAACAAGCAGAGCAAAGATTCCACTTTTTACGTCAATTATGCTGATGTTAAGCCTCCATTTGACCTGTACGTCTATTCCAAATTGAATATACTTTAGTATTCCCAGAAACTTTAATATATAATAATATTTAATGACGAAGTTTTCCTTAAATGCATATAAAAAGTTGATTGCTTAAACCTCAGATAAGAAATAATAGTTTTATTCACCATGGGTTCCATAAGTTCTCGAGGGGCTAATGGTTCAATTTTTCCTCAAGTTTATGAGTAGACCAAACGATACCACTGAATTTCATTTAGCCTTGTCTCCCGAAGATTATTATCTTTTAAGGTCAGCGGCAGTTTTGGCTTTGCCTCAGTTTCATCGGCATCCCCGAATTATCATTCTCTCATCACCTTATGGTATCGAAACATACATACTATGAAAATAAGATATATGTTCAAATCTTATGGCAAATTACAATTTTGCCACCATAAATTTGCTATGAGAAAGTCCTTACTCGTCTTGTAAATCACATTTGACCTGTGAGTAACTGGCCACTTTGGCTGAATAGCGTAGCGGGAACATACCTAAAATATGCAATGCACTACCCGACTTCGATTACTCTCGTAGTTCCTGATACGACCCAGGCCAGGTCAAAACTGGGTGCACTTCAAATACGAATACTGTGTGGAAGACAAGGCTAAGTGAATCCCACTGGCATCGTGAGTCGTACTCATGTAATTGTGGTAAAATTTAAATGTCAATTCTATATGAACTTATGCGACCTAGGATGAATATCATATTAAATTTTTACCTCGTTACCCTATAAGTTTTTAAAACCTGGTATAAATAGACCTCGCTATTTTATTTTACTTCCATCAGGCCCTTTTACCAAGTTTCGATCCTGCTTAGATATCAGCAACATTAAACGAGATTTCCAACCCAGCCATGCTCACCCTAGGTACACGTTACAATTCCGCTACG